TTTGCCAAAATTGGATTTTTTTTTTTAACAAGCTCATAGTCATCAGTGAAAGTTTCTGCCTGAACACCATCTCTTGGCAACTTCTAACATGTTAGGACACCTCAGGAGCTTTCCTAATTAGCAGAAATAGTAGTTGTTCTTTAAGTTAGGAAGATTGATGAAATGCCTGTACTCCAGATTTACTTTTTGGCCTCTTAGGACTGATTTCCTACTTTGATATACTTGATAAATACAGCCCTTTTTTTTTTTCTTTTTTATAAGTAAGAAGCCAGCCAAGTCAACTGGGCGGAGATTTTGGTCTCTATTTGTGTTTTAACTTTAAAAAAAAAAAAAAAAACATGAGCTAAAATGTGAGTACATGTGTGCACACACACGCAGGCATATGGCACCGCTGTTAGGTCACAGATATGCATGAGAATATCAGTGTCTGATATGGGTGTGTTTAATAATTCAGTGCAAAGCTGGGGTCATATCTAAGATGTGTTATGAGGCCATTGTCCTCAGGGAGACACAAAAGGACAGATGCAGTGTTGGAGCAATGAGGAGGCTTTCAGCAGAGACGAAAAAAAAAAAAATCAATGCTCTGAGTAGTGACTAATAAACCCCTCCTCAGTGGTCTAATACAGGGGTGGTTATTATATCTCCGAGGGCAATGCAGCATTGCGGGACTATTATTACTGTACAAATGGAGTGTGTTCTCATTCAGCTGAGGCTGAGGTCAGGGCCTGAGTACTTGTCCATGCACACACCGTCGCAAATGATGAAGCGAATACAAATGCGCAGGGTTACGCTCTGATGTTGACAGTGTGAGCACAAAAGCAAGCACGCAAATACAAACCATCAGTCTCCTCTGTGTCAGCGCAGCCTCTTATCACGTCGTCAGTGTATTTGTTCATGGGCAGAAAAAATAAGAATCCTCAGACGGTTACAGATAATATCCTGTAATGTCCTTACTAATGTGTATGTAAAGGGTTTAAATCAACTTTTTGATGTACTCATTCTCCGTCACTGTCTTGTAGACTTTCACAGGTGAAAAGACTGATAGTGAAGCCGTTAAGCCGAGTACAAACTAAAGCATGTTTTCCCCTATTTGCTTGTTCCAGACAAATTTTTTTAAAGATTTGAGACAAAGCCCTTAACTCAGCATGGAATCTGTGCTTCTGCTCATAATGTGTAGTTTTAATGGTATCGCAATATAGTTTCAGTATCAGTACCAAAACAATACTTATATCAACAGTTTACTCTGAGAAATGTAAATTATGTTTTGCTACAAAGAAGCCACAGTTACCAAATAGTGAATGTTGTTTAAATATATTAAGAAAAGAAAGAAAGGTCTCTATTTTTGTTTTAACTTATTTAAAATATTCTAAAATCGGCAAAATTTATGAGATCAGAGATCATTTACTTACATTGATCAGATCAATTACGAGATTATAATTGACATCAGTTCTCAGATCAATAGTCACAGGTCTATTGGTTTGTTTATGTATTTATTTTTTTGTATCCCCATTAGCTGTCCTCTATGCACTAGTTATCTTTTTAAGGTCCATGTGGTGCAGCACTTATGTCAGCCAATAAGAAATTGCTCTATAGCAATGCTAACGATACATCTGTGTTGATTTAGCAACATCTGTACATGTCCACCAGAAAGCCCTAACAAGCTTGTTTTTCCAAGTGTAAAATGTTACCATTGGTACATTTCTTGGTAACAACTCTTTAATCATCATGAATATCTGTTGATTATTGAACTCTCAAATAATGATTGGTATTTGTCTCCAAAATCCAGGATTTGTTGTGCTCTGAATACAGTGTAATTAAGCAATTATGAATCTGACCAATCATTCAATGACAGTTTTCAGTTCTTGATGGTATTTGATTGTGGTTGGTATAAAAAAAAAAAATGTATTGAGGACTGATACTCAGCTCCAGCTTGGAAACTCGTTTAGCATGATTTTATACCAGAAAACAAAAATAACTGTTGTATTTGAGTCAAATCATGTAAACACAGCCTGTTAAAAAAAAGGACACAAAGAGATGCATTTATCATCAAATATGAGTTTATTTTTTTTATAAATCATTCTTACAAAATTGGCATTTATCTATTTCATTTGTGACCTCTATAAAAGTCTTCTGTTAATTACAAGGTAGGAGGGAGGAGAAGGCATCAGGACAGCTGGGCTTGACCGAGTCCTTACAGATCAACAGATATTATTACTGCTACCGATTGGTAGCGTGATACAGCCAATCGCTGATAAATAATCCCAAACAGGAAGTGGTCATGCGTGGTCGCCTTGGCAACAGTGTCCAAACACAAAGATGAAAACGGGGTGTTTGTAGTAAGAGAATGGAATGCTGTGTCTCATCCAGTGTATGAAGGCAGGGCTGTTGGTGGTGGTGGGGGGGGGGGGCTGCGTGTGGTGCTATTGTTGCCCGTCTACTGGAAATAGTGTGGGACAGACCGTGCTTGGCATGTCAAGAACTCAAATGTTGATAAAAGGCACAAATCAAGAACAGACTAGTTTCCAGAACACATGCCGCCGTCGCTATAAACACCAACTGCCTGGCACATTTTGGGTAAACCTTCTTCCATCTGTGTTGAAGCGCACAATGATAACTTGCATAATGTTCCTCCTGATCAAATGACAGGCGTTTTTTTTTTTTAAGTGGATGCAGAGGTTTTCCTTGTGGCCTAACTCGCATCCATCACACTCTGATGATACACTGTACGGCACGCCAACTGAAAGATGGGACAGAGTCTGCTGCCAAGTTTATCTGACCTGAAACGCAGGCTGTGAAAGAGGCAATTTAAACAACTGTGTCAGAGCCCCAGACCCATTATTGTAATGCATTGGGGGAAGATGTTAGAGCAGAATCTGAAAATGTTTCCATCTGGTACAGGGGACCCAGCTGCTTATTATTTTCCATGTTTCAGTTGGCGTAGTCTTTATTGGGACTTTGCAATTTGACTCCCATGGAGAGCCAAGATGGTGCGGCCCAATCCAATTCTAGATCACTGGTGTATGCAATCTTTTCAGGAGTTGAAGCTCTGCTACGACGACTCTGAAAATGTTCCCCCTTTCTCTCTCTCTCTCTCTCGGGCAACTTCTGTACGAGAAAGTGATCGAGTGTGATAGATGTTTCCCTGGAAAACCAATGCAAAGTGAAACATAATATGAGCTTTATATCGGCATCTGTGGATTAATGTGCACAGTGTGTCGAAAATAAAATGAATAAATACCATTAACTCCCCTCAGCGATGCAGAATCAGTCTCATGTATTCGCCACGTCATCTCAAATCGTACACAGTCTTCTTTTTTTTTTTTTCCCAAAAAAATAAATATATGTCTATGTACAATGCTGACAGTTGCAGGGATTTGAAATGGGTGGTGTTTTTTTTTCTTTTTTCTTTTTTTTTTTTGCAAAGCTGGGGGACGTGGTTCTCATGAGATAATCAACAACAGTGATTCAAAAAAATCTAACATAAAAGACTTGATATGGATTCAAACAATATGGTTCTGTGAAGATGAAATAGGGACCAGATGCAGACCAAGTGAGGAGTATGTTTTTCCCATAATCACATACTGTAGATGATCGAACACTTTGTTGTGACTCACATTAAATGGATCATAAATCTCTCCTGGCAAAAAAAAAAAAAAATCACAATCCAAACTTAAAGTCCCAGAATGTAAATACAAACATTATATTCAAAACAATGGTGTGAGGAAAAAAAAAAGAAAACCATGATAGTCCTGCTGGGTTTGATATGATCTGCTGGAACAGAGTAGCTTTGCTGTGGCAGTATTTGGATATGTCACCTGAAAGCATGAGCATCCCCATTGTTGACACTGTAAAGGCTTTACAATACATTTTACATAAACTCTTTGTAGAACAAAACGTAAATGAATGAAAAAGTAAAAACAGTCATTGAATGTGTGACACTGATACTGATGGATGTCGATGACAGCTACCGATTAGCACACACCCTGAAAAGCTTTGGCTGAGACATTAAGCTGAATGCCTGCCTGACAGAAAGGCCACTAAAAGCACGCTGCTTTCATTCAAGTGTCTGCAGACTAAATGTGTGTGTGAGTGGACCGTCTGTGCTCTGGGGCTGCACGCAGACCTAATGACAGCACGCAGCAGCTCCGCTATGAGCCAGCCATTTTCTCTGACAGCCTCTCCCTTTGAAGTGATCAATTAAAAAGGTTGAGAGAGCTTATTTTAGCATTTTGATCTGGTTGTCTGATACCAATAAGGTAATTTAAGGTGCAAAATGTCAGGCGGTTTGATGTGGATACAACAATGATATGAGCAGCTGTTTATAAGTAAAGGACAAGCAGGGCCGCAAGGGAGGGTGTGTTAGGGAGGGAGGGAGGGAGGGGGGGAAAGCTGTCCTCCCAAGGCTAGCATTAGCCAGCAGGTCATGTTTGTGGGTCGCTGCTTTCACAACACAATGGTCCATAATGTTAGAGTGTTTCAGCAACAGATTGTCCCCCGGGAATAAAACAGCACTCCAAATGAAATAGGTTTACCTAATTGAAGCCCAAACGTATCTCTGCCTGACAAATGGAGGATAAAACCTTCTGTCAATTTAATGGCTATGAGGTTCTCTGATATGTCACGGGGGAGAGAGAGAGAGAGAGCGAAAAAAAGAAAATAAGTAATGGTGGCAGGAGAGCCACATCGGACTGATGACTAGAATATTTCAAGAGGAGAACATCTAGGCGTCTCAGACTGATGTAGGCAACGTGATGTGCAATAAACAATTTTAAAGGCAGACCCTGATGTCAGAATGGCACTGATGCTCTAAGCATTAAAAAAAAAACATCTCTCTATAAGCACTCCTGTGAAATGATGCTGGTCACTAAAGACCTGCTATAGTCTGAAATTTTCTCCCTGTAAGGATAGTGCTGTGAGGCCGTGCAGGAAATTTAAAAAAAAAAAAAAAAAAAAAAAAGAGAAGGGTGAAACGAGTTTGGGTTAGAATGCAGCGTTCTGCTCCATTTCATCCAGAAATGTTCATTTCGCTCATTCCAACGGAGGGAAAATGTACTCTGCTTGAGCTTATGGTTGGATGAGCCAACTTTTCAAGGCTCTGTACACACAACACACACACACATACGCACAAAGAAGAGTGAAAGTAGAGAGTTTGAAGGGGTAAAGAAAAGATGATGAAAGCAAGTGGAAAAAAAAAAGATAAGAAAAAGTACAAATGCCATGGTGAGTATGAGAGGAAAATGGGATATGAAACGAGATGTTTTTCTAACTTATCTTAGTGATAACAGGGAAGCAAATAGACCATTATAAAAGCCATATCAGCACATCAAGGAATGAGCCAAGGATAGGACAGACAGGATGTTTTCAGACTTGAGGCTCAAGGATGTGTGTCGATAGTCGAGAATATCAGGAGATAATGGCTTCTTTTCAATGAAAACCTTGTAATAACAGGTTGGACACTGCTGTTAACCTTTTCTGTCTCAGAAAAGAAAATATTAAAAACTGATGATGCTCCGATTTAAAAAACATCGGAGCGAGGAAAAAGGGTTGACAGTGTTACAGAGAGCTGATTTGTACAATGAAATCAAAGCAACTAAAGAACAGGGTTTCCCAGGCTATAAAGCAAGGGTTTTGGTAGTGAGTCCAGTTATTATGTCCTGATGCAGACTGGGGTTGCTAGGGGCGACCAGTAGGATTTGTGTTGGGCGGGGTTGCCAGGTTTGCGATCATGGACACCTTCCCTCTTCTACCGTCCTGTACATGTGCCGAAAGAGCAGGAAAGTCAATGTCGTCCTTGTTCGTGTTGTACAAAAAAATATTCTATTCAAGAGTTCTCGTCGTCAGTAGTGTGTGCTGTGTGTTTGCACATTTGCGAAACATACAGTACTGTTTGGCTTGTCCATCAGTTTGTGTACTCCTCTTTGTCTGTCTGTGTTTGCGTTTTTTGTTTGTGTTTTTCAAATCCAAACGCCATCTGCTTGTTTCCTATTCATCCCTTCCCGCGTCAAGTCCTGGCAGCAGCGGCGCTGTGGTCATTGGCAATGTGCTGAGTGGAAGAAAGAGCTGTGTCGCTCCCTGTCCATCCTGCTGTAGTCCTACTACTCCTTCTACTCTCCACTGAGTCAGTCTCTCGCACCTCCCCCTGTGTGGGGTCTCCCCCAAGGGGGCGCCGGTCCTGTCAGAGCCTCTCGATGTCCCTGTATTTCTTGCGGAGGATGGAGACCTGGTCCTTGAACAGGACGGGGTCCAGTCTCATCTGGGAGTGGACCAGTGGCATGGCGCCAAACCAGCTGGCGAATTTGTTCATGCAGGTCTGTCGCTGGGCAAAGTGGTCTGGATCGGCCCAGCGAGATGCCCTCGAAGACTGGTAGGAACAAAGAACATGAGGAAGAAAGACAAAAGGACAGGTTTAGAGTCATGCTGTCAGTGTTATGAATAATCATTGCTTTACATCACTGATGTAAACTCAAACCAGGGTAACTATTTATAAGAGTTTTCTGCAGTTGCTAGGGGGGTACGTGAAAAGATTATTGAGTACCTCAACTAATCCAAAAAATGAAAAATCATGATTTTATTTGTGTTTAGGATGGAAATGAACTGGTGGTGTCAATGAAAGGATAGAGGTCATCAAATATTACAGGGACGTGGGTGTACGCCAGAAAAAAACAAACAGTGCTTTATGTCAGTGGGGGGAAGGAGACGTGAACATTACATGAAGAAGACAATGACAATGATCTGCATTCTTTCAGTCATAATCTACAGTTGTCCACAGTGACAAGAGAAAACCATTAGTGACTGATGACTGACATTAATGTTTCTCAATAAATCATCAGCTAGATCATCTTCTATATTTGGGAGTCTGGAACCCGACTAGAAACTATGATGTAATCCTTTAAGACTGACACGACTCCTTTCTATGTTTTTGCTCAGCGCTGTTAGCGACTTGTCCTATTTACCCATGGGTCGGACAAAAGACTTTTAAGCGAATAATTCATGCTGTTTATAAAGCAGCAAGGGTTTGCTCCAGCTGAAAGGCCATGACACACACGATGGGAAGAAAACAACACTGGCTTCAGCATGAATCACGACTTATACAAGGCAGAACAAAATCAAAGAGGTTCTGTAATGCAGATCAATTCACTCAACTGGTAGCTGTTCAGTTTTGGATAACCAGCTCTTTTAATGAATCATCCACATATAAATATCCACCAAAATGACATGGATCCAGCTGTGAGAAGGGTTTCAATACATTCTTACCTGTCCCATCATAGTCTCCTTATACTGTTTCTTCTGTGTGACCTTAATGGGCGGCAGTTTGGTGACAGCCGAGACAAGGAAGTTCATCAGGATGTCCTCACAGTTGGCCAACTGGTCCACCATGCTCTTCAGACTAGTGGGCAAGTAGTTGGTGTATAGGTAATGGTAATACCTGGAAGAGAAGCCACAGAGGAGTCAGAATAAGAAGAGCAAAGATAGCCAGTCCTTGAGAATGAGACTTGTTTGTCTTCCCATCAGGAAGACATTTAACTGTGAGGGCTGAAACCAAGTGTGTAGGTTTGGTCTCAACATTGTCAGGGACGCAATAACCCCGCCAACCCTTCAAAACAAAGAGATTGTTTTTTTAATGCTGTCAACCAAACGGTTTATTAACGTATATGATCTGAATTTGAATTCAGGAATGCTCATACGCAAATGTAATATATGTACATGTTTTGAATTTCCATATATGAAGTAAAATAATAAAGGTATTTAAAGTATAGCCTATATATGTAAAAATAACATATGAAAACTGTTAGAAATTGTTGCAGTATCATATTGACATATATGTCTAGCTCATATGAACATGTATTTTAGTATGTTTATATTGTAGACATGTTACATAAACATATATCCATCGCAAAACCTGTCAGTATATGTTCATATTACACATGTAAATATAAAAGATAGACATGTATGGTTAAAATGAATGAGAAATTATTAAGAAAATCATAAACAAACATATATAGAATTTTAATAGGCATGTTGTTTTAATAAACTTGCATTTTACTATTTAGTATTTCATGTATGTTATAAAGTTATATCTTCATTTATCCAGAGGATGTATACATGTCATAATAATATATCCTTACAGGTGACACATATGGTAGCATCACTCTTGATATAGGGACATATATGTCATATATATGTCATAAAGCATAGTAAAGTAAGGCATGAAAGTTAATAGTATAGTTAGGCATTAGAGTCGCCTATTAACCTAATGTGTATGTCTTTGGATTGCAGGAGGACAGTTCGAACCACACTGTGAGGCGACAGTTCTAACCACATCACTACCAAGCCGCCGGTAAAAAAACTCGTAAAAAAAAAGTCATAGTATATTAAAACATAAAAAGTCATAAGAACGTAATTTATAGTAAGGCATAAAAAAGGCNAAAAAAAGTCATAGTATATTAAAACATAAAAAGTCATAAGAACGTAATTGTATAGTAAGGCATAAAAAGGCATAAAAACGTCATAAAAACTACATATTATAGTAAGGCATTAAAAGTCATAAAAAGTCATAGTATAGTGAGGCATAAAAATTCATAAAAACTACATATTATAATAAGGCATGAAAAGTCAGAAAAAGTCATAGTATAGTAAGGCATAAAAAGTCATAAAAACATCATAGTATAGTAAGGTATAAAAACATCGTAGTATAGTAAGGTATAAAAACATCATGGTATAGTAGACATAAAAGGTCATAAAAACTACATATTATAGTAAGGCATAAATCGCATGAAAACGTCATAGTATAGTAAGGCATAAAAGGTCATAAAAACTACATATTATAGTAAGGCATAAAAAGTCATAAAAACATCATAGTATAGTAAGGTATAAAAACATAGTATACTAAGGCATAAAAACTACATATTATAGTAAGGCATAAAAAGTCATAAAAAAAGTCATAGTATAGTAAGGCATAAAAAGTCATAGTATAGTGAGGCATAAAAGGTCATAAAAACTACATATTATAGTAAGGCATAAAAACGCATGAAAACATCATATTATAGTAAGGCATAAAAAGTCATAAAAACATCATAGTATAGTAAGGCATAAAAACTACATATTATAGTAAGGCATAAAAAGTCATAAAAAA